TTTGGGTCACACCAACCCTTATAATATCCTTACTAAGAGACCACCCTCTTAGTTTTACATAGGCCACACCAGCCCTTACAATTTCTTTGCTAAGAGAAACTCTTCCTCTTAGGCTTACAGCAGATTTGTAAATAGAATTTGTAGTACAAGAAATCCTCTCAAGAACTGATACAAATCAAACCTCACAATAGAGTATATATGAAATCAAGTGAAGCTCAAACTCTAAGTATGAAATGTATGAGAGATGATGAGGAAAATACAGAACAAAAAGCTCTGATGAAATACTAGAATAAAATTTTAGCAAAGACTCACGAAATGCTCTTTGAAGTTCACTCTGATTCAGCTATGGAAGCTTGTATATGAGATGAAGATCGATGTCTGAACAGAGGCTCTATGAGTGAGTAAAACCAGAACAAAAGCTTTGTATAATGGTAGAGCTAAAAGCTCTCTTTGATGCACTTGAATGAATGTTCTTGAATGCTTTCTCAAGTAGTATAATAGAGCAAAAACTCTATGAAGATTAAAACAAGAGCAAAAGCCCTTTTAATCTTTACCGGAATCTCTCAAGATAGAATAAAAGTGAAATGAGAGAGATGAAGAGAAGATAAGAACAAAAGCTCTCTTTGCAATGTAATATAATGTCTTTTAAAATGGTGTTTTTTTTTCGCAGACAAGCCCTCTATATATATAAAGAAATTTGTAGCTCAATATAGCTGTTAGAAGTAGTTGGAGGAATTAAATGCAGAAAAATTGCCGTTGTAATTCAAATCCCTCAAAGGAGCCGGCTCTTTGCAAAAGTGGAGGCGGCTCTTTTTCAAATGGAGGCGGCTCCATTAAAAAAAAGGGAGCAGGCTCTTTTTTGAAAGATTGTTCTACAAGCCAAGAAATGCTACTGGAGTGAAAGGAGCAGGCTCATTATTTTTCAGTGGTGGCGGCTCTTTTTCAAATGGAGGGCTCCAAAAAAATGGAGCAGACTCATTTCTGAATGGAGGCGGCTCCATTAAAAGAATGGAGCAGGCTCCTTTTTTTGAATGGAGGCGGCTCCATTTGCCTTGAGAGAGCTGGCTTTATTTACATAAAGGCTGCTTCTAAATTTGGATTGGACAGAAAAGAGCATATGACTTCAAATGGACATAACTTAGTCCATGAAACTCCAAATGAGGTGAAATTTAAGTCTAAATTTATTGCCTTGAAGTCAGCTTTCTAATCCAACTAGCCTTACTCAAAAATTCCAACCACAGAAGTAGTTATAGCCATTTTAATGCAACCTGGTCAGAAATTTCGCATACTAGAATCATGTATTTTGTGAAGCTCATATCTCAGTCATTTTAAATCCAATTTAGGTGAAATTTGAGTCTAAACCTAAGAGCTCGAAGTCAACTTTCCAATGCTACTGGCCTTACATAAAAATTCCAACTACACAAATATTTATAGCATTTTTAGTACAAGTTGGTCTAAAATTTTTCTGGGCTGAAAATTGCTTCTTATGAAATATCCATCTTTCTAGCACCTAGGACTTTGATGAATGGTTCAATTTCGTTCAAGGCCTATTTCCAAGAGTCTAGGGACATATGAAGATGATAATTTTCAAGTGCATTGTGTCCTAGAGTCATTTACCAAATTTTGGCAACAAAGGCTTTAAAGATGAAAAATTAATTTCAATGCCTTTTCCTATACTTTCTAGAGACCAAAATAAGTATAATGATTAATGTGCATGGTCCTAGAATTTCTAACTTAAAAAATGAGTTTTTTCAAAGCTTATCAAGCTTGAACTAACTCTTTCTTAGCAAAGACTTCATATGGCAATATATATAAATGAAGTTCCTAGTCTATTGCTAATGGTCATAGGAGCATATGAATGATGGATGATATGCATGGTCGTATAATTTTGAACTTCAAAATATATTCAAATATACTTTGACATCAAATCTTAAGCTCTCACCATCCTATCTACCTTTTCTTCATTCTTTGACCATGATCGTTTAGGCTTGATGAAGACTTGCTTTGTTTCTTTGAAATGCTTTGTGTGATCTTTGAAGTCCGAGTTTTTCTTTGATTTCTTACAACTTTGAGGCTTCCTTGAATCCATAGCTTGAGTATTTGGAATGCTTGGAATGGATCTTATAGCCCAACATTGAGGATTGAATATTGATCAACTAAATATCACTCAATGAAAATATTAGTACTTAAACATCATTAATGGTTTGTAATCATCAAAACATAAGATTGACCTTTAGATAAAATCCTTAGGCCAACAAGGAATGCAATGAATTTGAAAATGTACTTTCAATAAAGTAATCGTACAATTTTTTTCAGTACTTTACTTTTGTGCACGAATAAAGTTGCCATTTATCTTTTTTGAAAATCCCATATCGGATTAAAACAAAAATTTTAATTGTTATTTAAGATAAAATGACATAAAATCTAAACAGTGGAGTGGACCTCTTGATAGTAGGCGACCCAAAATGGACCCCTATCAGGGGTCTCCACTTCACACTTTTTAATCTTATTATAGAAAGATAAAACTTCTTCACCCATAAGAAACGATGTCCCACATCGCTTGAGAGATATACTTCTAAGCTTTTCTTATAAGATTACTTGATTTACTTACATATCAGTGAGTGGGACCCGTTGACAATAGGAACCCATTTACAACATCTAAATACCACATTGTCAAAGGTCTTCACACACTCTCCACATCTATTTTAAACGAAAAGATGTTTCCCTGTTCTTACAACTCAGGGTCCCACATCGACTAAAAAGGAAAAGATTTCTTTATTATTAAAATATGACCCATTGGGTATAAAATCAGCAGGTGAGGGTCCTGAATTATGAGACCCATGGATAGTTATAGCCCATTATCGGGGGGTCCATAATTCAGAACCTTCCCCGCTTTCTTTTGGGATAAATAATTTCCTTTTAAATCAGTATCCCTCTCTGAATAAAAAAGAAATATTTTCTGTGTTGATAAAGCAAAATCATTTGGTTTCAGTATCGGCGGCTCAACTTTCTTAAAAATGAAGACCCGTTACGACCCATTGTTAAATGGATAAACTTGTTTTGACCACGAAGGCCCAATAAAAGGGGCCAACCCACATCAAAACACTCTTATTGGACCTTCAAAAGGCCCATCATTAATAAATATATATATATGTGTGTGTGTGTATAAATATACACATAGGTGAAAGCCCCAAGAACTGAACGCTCGATCAGATTTGATCAAAAAATTAATCAAGTCCAAAAAAGCCGAACGGTCATAGGAACCGATCGCAAAAAATAGGCGAAGGCCCCAAGAGCCGAATGCCCGATTAGATTTGATCAGAAAAATGATCAAGTCCAAAAAGCCGAACGGTCACAAGAATCGATTGCAAAAAACAGGTGAAAGCCCCAAGAGCCAAACGCCCGATAAGATTTGATCAAGTCCAAAAAAGCCGAACGGTCACAAGAACCGATTTTAATCATATATTGGTTGCATAGTATGATCAGGTATATATCTGATTTCTATTATGCTTATTTCTGGATGTATTTGATGTTAATATTATAATTGTTGCATCATTTATGGATCATATGCATTATATGCACCAGTATGAGATGGTGGCATATTAGTGACGGATTAACTAAAAACGTTAAATCCTACCTATTCATGTATAACAGAATGGATTAACTAAAATGTTAAATCCTACATATTTTCATGCCAGGTCAACTGAATCAGTTGAATGACATACTGGATGCTTATTTTATGTTATGGATTATGATTGATTATATATATATATATATATATATATATATATATGGTTATGAGTCATGATATGAGCTTGAGTCTCAGGATTATAGTTAGGGTGCGTATATTGCCAGGGATGTGTAGCTAGATATAGTTTAGTTATGTACCTTGGTAGGTATAGGTATTCATGCCCACTATATGTGCGTTTTGCATGTTACCTACTATTCAGGTTGAGACAACTCTATAATCTAGTGAGGTTCCTTTAGTGTGTATTTATATATATATATATATATATATATATACGGACTACTTAGTTATTATTGGATTGACTAGGATGTATACGTGTATCGGGTCTTTGTTTGGATTGTAATAGAGTAGAATTTGTTCGTGGTCTTGACCCACTATTATTTTTTTAGGTGTTCGACAGTTCCAGTTTTAGAGCTTGTTCGTGCTGAGCAGAGATAGTCATTCACTCTTTCGACTGCGTAGGACTTTTCTTCACGTTTTAATTTTGGATTTTATTTCAGTTTAGTTATTTTCAGTTGGGATATTATTAGGGGTCCACTAGATGGATTCCCGAGTTGTAATAATATCAAAAATTTTGGATATTTTATACTGGAGGAATTAATTAATTAAGTATTTCATGGATTTATTATTTAGTTTTCTTTCAGTTTAATTATTCTTTATTCTTTATTTCTTTTTGTATTCAATGTTTGTTTAAATATTAATTATTTTATATCTTTTGGTTCTATGCTCGGACTTGATCACCTATGGCTCTAGAATCGAGGGGTATCACAAACATGGTCTTGTGATGAGAAATAAATCTAGATTGGTTGCACAAGGATACACTTAAGTTGAAGGAATTGATTTTAATGAGACTTTTGCACTTGTTGCTAGACTTGAGTCTATTCGACTTCTTTTTGCTCTTGCATGTCACTTTAAATATAAATTGTTTCAAATGGATGTGAAAAGTGCTTTTCTAAATGGTATTTCGCAAGAAGAAGTTTATGTAGTATAACCAAAAGGTTTCATTGATCTACATAATCCTGATTTTGTGTTTCATCTTAAAAAGGTTCTTTATGGTTTAAAACAAGCACCTAAAGCATAGTATGAGAAGTTAACTTCTTATTTAATGCATAAGGGCTTCAGAAGAGGAGGAGCAGATAAAACATTGTTTATTTTCATGAAAGGAAACGATTTTCTTATTGCTCAAATATATGTGGATGATATTATTTTTGGTGCTACTTGTAATAACCTTGTTCATAATTTTTCTAAAGATATGAGTAATACTTTTGAAATGAGTGTGGTTGGTGAACTGACTTTCTTTTTAGGTCTCCAAGTGAAACAATTTGATGATGGGATTTTCATATCTCAATCAAAATATGTAAAGGAGTTAGTTATGAAATTTGGTATGAAAGATTCAAAGCATGTGCAAACTCCTATCAGTACTTCATCCAAATTGGATAGAGACTTTGATCCTAACAAGGTTGATCATTTCTTGTATAGGAGTATGATTGGTAATTTGTCGTATTTGGTAGCAACTAGGCCAGATATTTCATTTAGTGTAGGTGTTTGTGCTAGGTATCTAGCTAATCCTAGAGAACAATATGTTTTTGCAGTCAAGCGAATTATTCGATATGTCAATAGTACATTGAATTATGGATTGCGTTATTATTCTGAATATAACTCTGAGATTGCAGGCTATTCTGATGCTGATTGGGCTGGTAACAAGGATGATAGAAAATGTACTTTAGGTGGTTGTTTCTATGCTGGTACTAATTTTGTTTCATGGTATAGCAAGAAACAAAATTACATACCTTTATCATTTTGTGAGGCTGAATACATTGCTACTGGAAATCATTGCACACAATTGCTTTGGATGAAATAGATGCTTCTGGATTATGGAGTTGATCAAGGTACTATTGCTATCTTTTGTGATAATACTAGTACAATTAATATTTTAAATAATCCAGTTTTGCATTCTAGGACTAAGCACATTGACATTCGACATCACTTTCTTAGGGAACTTGTTGAACAAAATGTCATGTCTTTGGAAAAAAGTGCATACAGATCAGAATTTGACTGATATTCTCACTAAACCATTAGATGCTCCTAAGTTTTCTCATTTTAGGAAATCTATTGGTATCTGTTATCTCGATTAGATGCATTGCAAAGTCATAGTCTAGAAAGAATTTTCATGCATATCTTAGGTGTCCAGATTATGTTTTTAGGAAGTTAAACAAACCATATTAATTGAGTATGTTGAACACAAGGAGTTTAATGACACATGGATTATCTGTGAAAAACATATAATGGCTATGAATTGATGAAATTGGTTTTGCTTCCTTATTTTGTATAGTAAATGAATCATTGATAGTACATTTACTTGAGATATCATTGTTTTAGTCAAAGATAATGTTGACATGATTGATCATTGTCCTGAAATTTAAACTTAATTTATGTGTTTTAGACCAAAAGAGTGAAAGGAAAATAAAATTGAAAAAAAAAAATAGCTTGGAATGAAAAGTGTTCAATAAAGAAAGAAAAATATTTGTTGTTTTGAAAATGGTGAGATGGAAAGGTTACTTTTGAGAATTGTCCGAAGCTACCTTGACTCGAAACAAATGGGAATAAGGGAAAGAGCTGGCTGCTCATAAGCGTGAAAGCTGCCAATGTGCAAAAAGAAAAATGGAGCACAAAGAGAGAAAAAAAAAATGTCTTTTGCACATGTTGATTGTTTCATTTCTAAGGATATGTAACATCATTGATTTATTATCTGAAATCTAAACAGTTGGCAGATCATATGTTTTTGGAACTTGATGGTGATTTTACTGCACTTAATAAGTTTGTGGAATTGAAAAGAATTGATCTTGGTTATTTCTGTTGATACATATAGTGTTGTGGAGTCTACGTTCTCATTGATTTAAATTTAGAAAATTTATATGGTTGGTTGCTTCTTACTTCTAGGATTTTTCTTCCTTGAGACCCTTGTTAATTTGTGACCAAAGGGGGAGAAAGTTGTTAGTCTTATCATTCAGGGGGAGAAAAATTCTTTGTATTAAGGGGGAGAAGAACCATTGATCATTGCATGTGTTTACATTGCGTTGATATTCAGGCATTAAAATTTGTTATTTTATGCTTGTGTTTATTTTCTTGATTAAGCTTCACGGGTAGTTGTGTTTGAGCTAATGTGCAGATTATAGGTTGTTACATGTGCTAAAACTTCATAAGGTTTAAGAAAATTTCCGTGGTTTATTTCCTTTAACAATTATTGTAATTTACCTTCCTGCTTGGGTAGATTGCTGAATTATTTTTAGGGTTTTGTCACGAAATTGCCAAAGGGGGAGATTGTGAGATATATATGTTTTGTAATTGGCTAATTTTGTTGTCAAAATAAGTCCGATCGAGTTTTAATTTTTCGGTTCAAAATATCGAAGATTAAAGATCGGATACGGATTTGAAGAAGTTCAAGTGTTCATGTTATACTACACTCCAAGATGATGAGAACAATGCTCTAAGAAGTTTTGAGAGGTAGTAAGAACATTTAGGAAGGGTTTTGAAAGGTTTTAAATAAGATTTTACATTCTGTCTATCATGAATTAGTTCAAGATTTATCGATTAGGTTCAACTTTAGCAAAGTGGGAATTTTTCAAGACTGGTCATCTTGAAACAGTTTAAAGGGGCTGAACTGGTTCAAGGATCAAAGAGAGGAATTTCAAAAATGCTCTGGTAAACTTGAACCAGTTCAACCCCTCTGAACCGATTTAAGAAGTCATGGTAGCAGATGGTTTTTAGTTTCCTTTTTGTTGTTTGATTCCTTTTTGATCTCAACTTCTTTCCAAGTCCTATGCACGAAATTTTTCATATTTTCTGAGGGATTAGGACTTTCTAAGCTCTTTATAAACCTTGTTAGTCTTCTAGGTTTATTCACGGCTTTAGGGAAAATCAACTCTATATTTTGAGAAAAGCCTTTTAGAGAGAGAAAATTCAGAAAATCAAATCTGATTGTTATGAATTTATTTATGAGAGTATACACATATATTCATGAGTGATTTAGTAGTGTTGTTCTCTATCTCATCGGAATTGGAGCTATTTTGAAGATTCAGATATTTCGTATGAAGAGCATGATTTAATTTTTCTACCTCGAGTTCAGATCTTGAAGAACAGAAGTAAAAGCGATCATACTTTGAAAAGGTTGGAGCATTCAAGGAGTGTTGTCTGATCTACCTGCTACTCTTCTACAATTATCAAGTATAAGCCTGAAGTCAAGTTGCTGTTGGATGGGGAGTCGCAAAGCTAGGGGATTGTCAGCAATTAGTGTTTGGTAGAACAATAGGGTGTGAGTCAGAGTAAAAGTTCATTGTACTTTGTTTCAAATATAGTGGATTAGTTTATTTTGGACTGAATAGTCCACGAGGTTTTTCCCATGCAAACAGTTGACATATTTTATCAACTGGGGTTTCCTCGCTAAAAATCTAGGTGCAATCTCTCTGAACTTTTACTTACTTTACTTTACAGTATTTAAATTTGTAATTGTGGATGTTTAAATTTAAGATATTGCTTAAGTAATTTAATTAATCAGAAATTGAGCAAGTTGACCTAATAATCAGATTTAGGTTATTAAAGGAGTTAATCACAATTAAAATCAACTAAGTGTCTCTGCACCCCGCGTAACTCTATTTTCACAATTTGGTATCAGAGCGGGATACTCGATATATAGAGTAAATCATATTTGTTGATTTATTATTGATTTTTGCATCATGTCTGAAAATTCATGTGTTGATGTGTTGTCTTTACTTCCTGTTTTTGATTTTGTCACAAGCATGCAAATTGAGTGGTCCAAGTTTAAAAAGGATTTTGAAATTTTATTAGAGAAATTGAATCTTGCGGAACTTAATAGAGATATTTATAAGTTAGAAGTTTCTGTCTCTAATAAGAATTTGGAAGAAATTGGCCATAAAAATTTGAATCTTCTTCATACGATTGATTTTCTGAAAAAAGAACTTAAGAAGGTAAATTTGTTTAATAAATCACTGGAACTTAAAATTGATAATTTGAGTAGTGAATTTGTTAAATCAAAACAGACTTTTCAGAAAGTTGATATTGACACTTGCAAAATTGATAAGTTGAAAGGAGTGGTTAAGAATGTTAGGAGTAACAAAGATTTAGCATCAATTTCAAAGGATTTGTATTTTCAGAAATCTAAAGATGTTTCTGTGAAAGTTGAAACCAAACCTTGTGTTATTTCTAATTTTTCTAAACTTATTTAAATAGGATTCTGTCAAGTTAAAATTAGTTATTAAGAATGTTAGGAAGTTTTAAATAGAACAGGAAATTGGAATCTTAAACTGTATAAGCAGTTGGTATCAGTAGCTAAATGTGGAACCGGTTCCTAAAAAAAAGAACTGAATTCTTTGAAGCTAAGGTTCTTGAACCGGTTCCCAAGCTTGGTATCGATTCGCAGTTGACAGAATCCTGAAGAATGTTTGAAAAACTTGGAAAGAATTATGTTTTGGTAACTTGAAAACATACCATTTAGGTATAGTGTATTAAATGGGAAACAATTTCCTAAAGTGTTCTTTTCTTTCTCGACTATCTCAACTTATCATCTTTGAACAATTTTCCAATTCCGCAGCAGATTTCAATCTTGATATTGTAACTTGAAATTATAACTCGATTAGATTTGTTTTGACATCAAAATTTGCCAATTTTAAAAATTATATCTCACAATCTCCCCCTTTGACAGTTTCGTGACAAACCCTAAAAACAAATATAATCTACCTAGGCAGAAAATAATAGATTACAATTTGTCAAGGACACGTAAATTTTCTTCTATATTCTCTTCTTCTCTTGGACAAAATTTTACCTAATTTCCTGCACATGTATCAAGCAAAACTACCAGTGAAAGTTTAATGAAATAATTTATAAAAACTCCCCTTTAATAAATTATTCAATTTTTCAAATTTTCTCCCGCTTAATTAATCATTGTTCTCCCCCTTTTTGGAACAAATTGTCAAAGTAATTAAGATTTATCAGAGCAGGGAATATAGAAGACAAACAGTTAATTTAGTCAAACATGCCACTAAACCAAAAAAATAATATCCAAAAATAATATGTCATGACAATGTAAACTGAACAAAAATATGTTCATGTATGATCAGAAAGTCAAGATCAATATCTCCTTAAAAAAGAACAGTAGTAATCAGAATATCATCATCATCACCACCACCACTACTACCACCATCCTCATCATCATCTGTCTCATCATCATCATCATTAACAGGTCTAGGTGCTTGCTTTTAAACCATAAAGAACCTTTTTAAGATGAAAAACATAATCAGGATTATGTGGATTAATAAAACCATTTGGTTGTGTTACATAAACTTCTTCTTGCAAAATACCATTAAGAAAAATATTTTTTACATCCATTTGAAACAATTTGAATCTAAAGTGACATGCAAGAGCAAAAAGAAGACAAATAGACTCAAGCCTAGCAACAGGTGCAAAAGTTTCACCAAAATCATTTCCTTCAACTTGAGTATATCCTTGTGCACCTAACTTAGCTTTATTTCGCATCACAAGACCATGTTCATCAAGTTTATTTTTAAAAATCCATTTGGTCCCTATGATGTTAACATCACTAGGCCGAGGCACCAATTCTCAAACATCGTTTTTCACAAATTGAAGCAACTCTTCTTGCGTAGTCATAAGCCAATCAAAACTTTGAAGAGTTTCATCAACATTCTTTGGTTCAAACTGAGCCATATGACATGAGTGTCCTGTATCATCTACAATGCATGAATGTCCAAACTGATCACTACGAACTGTACTCCTAGTACCCTGTCTATCCCATAGGCCTATTACATTGTTAATTGGATGACTCGATCG